TTCATTCATTCATTCATTCATTCATTCATTCATTCATTCATTTTTCCTTTCCATTTAATGATATTTGGTTGGTTGGTTGTTTTGAAGAATATTCTCTATTTATTCCGCATATAGAGAGAAAGAGAAAACTCTGATGATGATGATCATTTTTTGACCAGATTCTTATGGCCTGTTATCCATTTTTCTTTTTTTTTCCATCTCTCTCTCTCTCTCTCTCTCTCTCTCTCTCTATCCACTTCTCTGACTCTCTCTTTTTTTTTGGGATAAATTTCGATTTAGAAATGAAAAAAAAATTCATTCATTTCATTTCAATGGTTGAAAGTAATGACAAGTATTCAAGAATTTCTCTCTCTCTCTCTCTTTCCTTCTTTACTCATGTTATGCATATGTAGAATATATGGATGGAAAAAAGAGGCAAGAATCAAGCTCATTAAGATCAGAATATCAGTGTGGCCAAGATTAAAAAATAAATAAATAAAAATACAGCAAAAGAAGAAAAAAGATTGATTGCTTTACATTATTTGGTTGGACATTTTTTTCTCTCTGGTAGGAATAAATTGAAGAATCAAAAACCATAATAAATAAACAAAATTAAAGACTAAGAAAGAGAGAGAGAGAGAAAAACTATTTATCAAACTAGGAATAAAAAAAATCTTAAAATTTTGTTGTTGTTGTTGGAAACTAGTTCAAATGAATTTTGTTGTTGAGATTCATTTCTCTTTTCTCTCAGTATCATGGTATTTGATTTTATTATTGCAAACAAAACAGAAAACAAAAACAAAAATTCAATTTGATTTGATTGAACCCAAGAAAAAATGAAACGAAAAATGATTTTTTTCTTTGGTTTGTTCAATTGATTTTTTTGTTCCAGTCAAAACACACTCACATGATGTACATAAATCATAATAAAAATCTATGAAATTTATTCATTTTGTTTAATGTAAATATTTTTCTTCTTTTCTTCTTGTTTTTTCAATGTAGAATCCATTTGGAATTTCGTGATTTTACTTTTTATTCTCAACAACGAATGATCATCAACAAAATGATCGAAATGGTTTTTGGCCCAAAAATGAATTGATTGACAAATTTGAAAAAATGAAATAACGATAATGTCCAACGATGATGTTCAAACTCAGATGAATAATGATGACCTAATGAAAAACAACAACAACTTTGACAAACAAAACAAAAAAAAAATGATGAATTTTTTGGAATGATTGTGATTATGGAAATAAATGATGATCATCAAATAACAACAAATAATGTTTCTATGTTTAAACAAACAATGAATAATACAATTGAAAATTATCATCATCATAATCATAATAATCATATAACCAAATATGTATTGGAATTGATTAAAAATGAAACCAATTGGGACAATCATTATCAAAATAATAATAAAAGCATTCAAAATAATATCATTAATGCATCAAATATTATTATCAACAGATCACTACTACCATCATCATCATCAACATTATCTGTTTTGAATGTAACTGAAAATTTTCATTCATTTAATCATCATGATGATATTAGTAAAACTGATGTTACTTTAATCGATAATAATAATAATAATAATGATCATTGGACTATAATCGATAATTTAACAACATCAACAACAACAACAATATTTAGTGATTTTAATGAAACAACATTATCAATCAATGATTTTAATTCAGATTGGTGGAATGTATGGACAAGTAAACCATTTCCAAGTGGCTATACACAATTATCAATTGTATTATTGGCCTTTTTTTTAACTTGTATTATAATATTAGTTGTTGTTGGTAATTTACTTGTTTGTATTGCAATTGCAACTGAAAAAGCATTAAAACCAGTACAAAATTGGTTTATTGCATCATTGGCTGTATCTGATTTACTTATTGGATTGGTTATAATGCCTTTTTCATTAGCAAGAGAATTAATGGGTTATTGGATGTTTGGTCAGGTTTGGTGTGATATACATGCTGCATTAGATGTTTTACTTTGTACAGCAAGTATCAATAGCCTTTTTCTTATCAGTTTGGATCGTTATTGGAGTATAACACAAGCTGTTAAATATCTTAAAAAACGTACACCATCAAGAGCTGCAATGATGATTGCATTTGTATGGATATTTTCTGCATTTGTTTCATTACCACCTTTAGTTGGTTGGAAAAAAGCTGAACAATCAAGTGAATATCCACAATGTAATTTAAGTGATGATATTGGTTATGTACTGTAAGTATTCTAGAAAAAAATGATATTTGATTTTTCATTCATAATCCATTCAACTATCTCTATAGTTATAGTTCAATCGGTTCATTCTATTTTCCTGCCTTGATGATGGTTTTTGTTTATGCCAAAATATTTATTGCTGCACGTAGTCGAGCAAGAAAACATATAGCTAAAAAACGTTTTAAAATACCAACAACCATATCAACAACAGCAAATGAAACAATGAAAGAAAAATCAACAACAACAACATTATGTACAAGTTTTAGTAATCCAAGTCCACCCGATAATATTATTAATAACAACAACAACAACAACAATGATAAGAATAACAACAACAACAACAACAACAATGAACATCATCATTGTCAACAACATCATCATCATCATCATTATCATCATCATCGTAATGATGTTGATGATGATGTTATCGATGATGATGATGAAGATGATGAAGATCATAATATGGACATCAAAAATGGTGTTACGGATGTTTGTGTTGACGATGTTGTTGTTGATAATGAAGATGATGATGATGATGATGAACAACAAACTGTAAAAATGAATTTAATACCAACATCATCATCAGAAACAAATGAAATTCGTTCACAAATTAGATTTGAATCAGATAATTATAAACAACAACAACAACAACAGTCAAAAAAGAATAATAATTCTATCATTGATAATGAATGGAATGTTGGTTGCGATATTCGTGGTAGTGGTGGTGGTGGTGGTAATATAATGATGAAAACAACAACAACAACAGCATTACCACCACAAATTATAATTGAAACATCATCAGAATCTCGTAGGCAATCATGGAATATAATATCTACTAGTGAAATTATTTCTACATTAAATACAACAACAACAAATAATAATAATCAAACAACAACATCATCTCCCAACGGAAACAATGATGATCATGGAAACAAACAACAACAACAACAACAACAAAGGATAATTATTGATGAAACTAATAATGAATGTAGTGGTCGAATTAGTAAAAATTATAATTTAAATGATGATTCTGCTGATAATAATAGTAATAATGATCATCATTCGTATCATCAACCATCACCAACAACAAAATTGACATACTTTTCAAAAGTTAAAACTTTTAAATTACTAAAACCAAAAACAAAAAAGATCAATGGTCTTAGTAAAAACAGTAATAATAATAGCATATCAACAACAAAATCAAATGGTACTATTGATGATGATTCAGATACGGCTGATTCACCAACAAATAAAGATGCAAGCTGTGAATCAAAAAGTTTTCTAAGTGCACCAAAATTATTACGATCACGATTTGGTTCAACATTAAGTATTGCTGATTATGAAGATTCTGATACTATTGTTGATGATGATCATAATCATCATCATAATCAAAATAATAATAATAAGAAAAATAAACGTAATAATCGTGTACAATATCAAGATCAACCATCAATTCATTTACCAAGTGATGCTGAACGTCATAAAAGAAAAATAGCAAAAGCACGTGAACGTAGAGCAACATTGATTGTTGGTTTAATAATGGCCGCATTCATTACCGCTTGGTTGCCTTTTTTTGTGCTTTATGTTCTTGTAGCCTTATGTCAAAATTGTAAAGAAAATATACCAGAAGGTGTATTTGCTGTTGCATTTTGGCTTGGTTATGGTAATTCAGGTAGTTATTATTTTCATTATTTTGATTTTTATTCATTTATTCAAACACATTATCCCTGTTTATGAAAACAAAACAAAAACAAAAACAAAAACAAATAAATAAAAATATAAACGATGCATACATATGGTTTTTTAGCAAAACTTTTTTGCTCGTTATTATTATTGTTTTTGTTTTTGTAAAAGTTAGGTTTGTTTGTAATTCCAGTTTCTTTAATTACCCATTTACTTTTTTTTATATATATCCATTATTTGATGGTTTTTCTTGTTTTTGTTATCCTCAAAAAACAAACATATGTTCCAGACCAAAAAATAATAATAACCATCATCCATAAATATACCGACAAACAAGCGAAAAACAATAATATTTTCCCTGGATTTTTTTCGTAAATCTTTTTTCCAGTAATAGAAAAACAACCTTAGAAATGAAATGAAATTGAAGATTTTCTTTTTTTTTTTGTTTCATCATTTAAGTTTGTTTTTAACGATTAAATGAAGCATAGCAATTAATTTGTCATTAAGTGGTTTTTTTTCAACAAAATAAAAACACGCACATTACCAAAACACACACCAACAGACAGACAAAGTGTTAGTAATGTTATACAATTAATTAAATCAAATCAAATGAAAGAATCGTAGAACTTCTTTCTAAAGCCATACTTTTTCGAATAAATGGGTTAGCATTCTGGATTCTGGTTTTTAGTTTTGTCGTGCTGCGTTATTTTTCCATTTGAACCCAAAAAAAGATTTTCCATTACCAGAATCCAATCCAAGAAATGAATTTTTTCCTTTTATCAAACAAAAATAATCTTTATTTTTCTTTTTTTAAAAAACTTTTTTTTTCTTCTCAAAAAAAAAAATCTGAATCTGGATTTGATCTGGTCGGTTGGATTTTCTTTCTCTTTTTTTCTGCTGCTGGCTTTTTCGTGATCGCGAAAATGAAAACCAAACCAAACCAAACGAAATGAACGAAATGAATGGATTGGATGCAAAAACGGGGAAAAAAATCAGCCGCAAATCCCATTATTTGTAAGTATCGATCCATCTTATCTTTTCTATTTATTCATTCATTCATTTGTTTTTTGTTTTGTTGTTGTTGATTTGTCGTTGAATTTTCTGGTTCATTCAGTTTTTCAGTTTTTTGTTTTTGTGTTTGTGTTTGTATGTCTGTTTAGTGTGATAGTATCCACGTTCAGAAGAAGATTCACGTTTTTTGTTCATTTGTTCGTTGGTTGTTGGTTCTGGATTTTGATTTTGGCCAAACTTTTTTTTTTGGAAATTTCTCTTTCTGTATCTCTATTTTGTCAACTTGGTAGTCAGGAAAAATAAAAAAAAAGTTTTGAAACCAATCCAGAATAGGATTTTTCTTTTTTCGGGTCTCACTTTTAGGAGCAAAAAAAAAAGGATTAGTTTTTGTGAGTTTAGCTTTTTTTCAACAGCAAAATCAAAAGAAACCAAAAGCGAAAAAAACTTTTAGCAAATGCAACAAATGATGATGAAAATAGTGGATAAAAATTAGCATATTTTCCATTTTTTGCGATGAAATTTTTAGCTTTTTGCATGAAAATCATGTTTTTTGCTTTTTGAATTAAACAAAAAAATTAAATTCAAAATTCATTGATTTCAATTTTTTTCTTTTTTTTCTTCCTTTTCCCATTTTATCATCATCATCGAAACAAAAAAGATACCATCTTTAATCGTGACTATCGAAAAGCCTTTCGTAAAATTCTTTTTAAACGTTGATCTTTTTTGTAATCTTTTTCTTCTGGTTCTCATTCTTACAAATGTTGTCAATTTATCGATTATGGAATGAGAGAAAAGTTCATCAATTTTCGTTTGTTGTTGAATATCAATGACACTGAAATGAAATTGGATCGATAAATGTAATTTTGACAACAAAACAAACACAGACACACAACAAGTAACAAAAACACGTGAAAACAATTAACTTAAATTCATCAGAATGGGAAAATTTCTTCTTTTCTCTTCTCTCAAAAAAAAACTTCCATTTGCTTGCTTCATCATACATATTTTCCTCATCTATACATCATCAGAATCGAAATATATCAAAGATTAGTGGCAGAATGAAGAATTTTGACAGAATTCAACAAAAAGTAAATCGATCAATGCGAAAATGAATTCGATCGATTCTCATTTCATCATTATCATCACCATTGTTTGTAAAATATATATTTTTTTCTGTTTTTGTTTTTTCCATTATTCTGTTGTTGTTGTTGTTTTTGTTGATTATTGCTTACCATCATCATCATCATCATCATTACCATCGTCATCATCAACGTCATCAACATCAGCCAAGGATCTTTACAGAATAATCAAATGAAAGGGTAAAAGTAAACACACACAAACAGAGAGGAGAACATCTTTTTTTCTAAAAAAAGAAAACAATTATCAAGTCTTCCTTTCAAACATTTTCTTCTTCTTTTTTTCATTTTGTTTTGTTTGATTTTTTTTTTCGTTTCTGTTTTGTTTTGTTTTCCTTCAAAATCAATAATATCAAACTTGTGAATATCATCAATGATTCATGATTTTTTAACCCGTTTTGTTCCTTGAATGCAAAAAAAATGCCAGGCTTGTTAATAAAAAAAAATTGCCTTGGAAAATTACAAAAAAAAAACAACCAAACAAACAAAAAATCGGATGTAAATGCCAGATCTATTACTTATTCGGATTTACCTGTCAAAAGTGATTTGTAATTGTTTATGTTTATGTTGATCAAATAGCTGAATGTTTTTTTTTTATTATCACTTATTCCGGGTAAAGCACACACACAGATACAGACACACAGAATAATTATTGTTGATTAACTTTTCAAAAAGAATATTGTAATTTGCGCACATTTGTTTTCTCTCTTTCTCGCTTCCTGTCATCATAATCGATTCATTTACACATTAAAAGTTTTTTGTTTTTTCCTGTTATTATCACCATTTTTTTTGAATTTTTGTCATATATAATACTAACATTGTTTTATGTATTTATACACCAAAAGTTTCACATGTAAATTAAACAAAATCATCAATGTATGAATTAAAATAAAATAAAATATTTTTCAATTTTTATCATCAGATTTTTCTATAATTTCTTTCATTCTTTCTAATTAATTTTTTTTTTGCTGATGGATCAATGGCAAACCGAACTGGCCTCCTTGTAGTTTTTTATCATTTTTCAATCAATCGATCGATTTCGTTCAAATATCATGTTTTCCAACAGAATTTCTCTGCAGAATTGACCAAATCGAATACAAATTAATCACATTATCTAATTTTCAAGTAGCAAAACATTTTTCGATCAATATCAATATCATCTTCGGTTTTTTTTTGTGTGTGTATCGTCAATCAATCAATCAATCAATCACCAGCTGTTAAGAATAATAATAATAATTTACAATGTTATCTATTAAAGATAGATAACATATATTGGCTACTTATTTGAACATCAACATCATCATGAACATTTTACCTGAATTGAAACACTTTTTTCAATTATCATTTTTTTGTTTTTGTTTTTGTTACTTTCTTTTGATATAATGTGTTAATGGTAAATCGATTCCATGGAATCCAAACACAAAAACAACAACAACAACAAATCATTGATTACCATACAGAATGGTCTCATTTAGTAGCAAAAAAATATTGGTCAAATAAATCGAACAACCAACTAACTAACTAACTAAAATGTTTGTATGCAATTAAATAGAGGTAATAATAATTAGTTTCGGGTATTTTTCTTCTCTTTCAAGCTGCTTGATTTTTTTTCATTATGATCAATAATAATATAAATGGATTGAAAGTCTCTGTGTAGAATTCATTCTAGGAGAGAGAGATAAAATTTATGAATTTACCCACAGCACCTGAACAAATAAAATGATTTGGTATGCGGGGGTTAACACACACACAAACAAACCAATATGGATCCATTATTATTAATTATTAATTTTTAATTTTTTCCTGATTTCTTCATTTGCTTTCCCCCTTGTACAACAAAAAAAAAACATTAATAAAATGACCTTAATACACCTAAAAACTATTTTATTAGTTGGTTGGTTGGTTGGTTGGACAAGCACAGATAAATAAATCTCGCCCATAATGTTTTTCACATAGAAAAATCCTATATGATCATCATTTTGGAGAGAGAGAGAAAGAGAAAATGGATACAACTCTAAAATGTTTTTTTTTGATTCTGTGATGAACAATAATAAAAAAAAAATCACAGAATCGAAAAAAAAATTGTTAAAGGTGTATAAATTCCTAAATGTTGAATCTTGTTTACCTTTTTTTTGGAGAATGTGTGTGATTTTTTCATCATCATCATCCTGATGATGATTGTCGTAAATTCTTTTTTTTTGTACATTAAAAAAAATAGTTGAGAAAGAGAGAGAGAGACATGAAAAACATTTGGACAAAATTACGATCAAAAATGAACAAGAAAATGTACACCCCTGTTTTCTGTTGTCGTCATCGTAAATACAAGAATCGGTGAATCTCTCTCTCTCTCTCTCTTTGGTGTTATTACAATTCTGTTTGTCTGTTTGGTCCTGGACACTAAACGACAAATTATTATTACGATTATTACGGGCGTACATTTTTTTTTCTCAAATATAACCCCCAACCAAACATTAATGTAGTTGTTGTAATGATTGTTCCCAAAAGATATAACCGAGATTTCTAAAAATAAAATGAAAAAAAAATCCAAAATGATATCATCATCACATGGATCGGTTGTGTGCAATGAAGGGATATGATTGTTGTGTGTGTTAACAGTGGATACCGGGTTGATTTAAGAAAAAAAAATTCTGCCAAATAAACAGAATTTTTTGTTTTTTCCGTTAAAGACCAAATGTGTTTCGCAGATAACAACAAAGATTGCCTGATAATGTTTATGTGAAAATCATATCAATTTTTTTCTGTTCGATTATAATTTATTCATTAAATTTTTTTACAAAAAAATATAAAGATTATCATCAAAAACACTTTAGGAAACCAAAATAAAAACCCGATAATATTCTCATTCGTCATTTTGTCTCTTAGTCGAATGAGTAGTAGTACGATGATGAGTAATTGGTGCTGTATTATTAATTCCATTAATCCAATTATAATTACTTGTTTTTAATGTTAATGTTGTTATAATTTGACCCCATATCATAATACTAATACCGAATGCTAAACACCATAACCATTGTGATAAATCTAATGGNGTATACATTTTCTTGTTCATTTTTGATCGTAATTTTTCGTTTTTGTCCAAATGTTTTTCATGTTATTTCAATTCTGTTTGTCTGTCTGGTCCTGGACACTAAACAACAAATTATTATTACGATTATTACGGGCGTACATTTTTTTTTCTCAAATATAACCCCCAACCAAACACATTAATGTAGTTGTAATGATTGTTCCCAAAAGATATAACCACGATTTCTAAAAATAAAATGAAAAAAAAGCAAAAAATCCAAAATGATATCATCATCGCATGGTGTGTTATGAGGGGACATGATTGTCGTGTGTGTTTGTGTGTGTGTGTGTTAACAGTGGATACCGGGTTGCGCGTTGATTTAAGAAGAAAAAAAAATTTTGCCAAATAAACAGAATTTTTTGTTTTCGTTAAAGACCAGACCAAATGTGTTTTGTAGATAACAACAAAAAATTGCCTGATAAGTTTGATATAATAAAATGATTCGGTTGAATAGCAGAAATGTTCATGTGAAAATCATATCAATTTTGTTCGATTATAATTTATTCATTAATTTCTTTTTTAAAATAAAGGTTATCATCAAAACACTCTAGGTCCTAGGAAACCAAGAATAACCCGAAAATATTTTCTCAGTCATCATTTCGTCTCTTAGTCGAATGAGTAGTAGCAGTACGATGAGTTAATGTAGTATTATTTATTCCATTAATCCAATTATAATTACTTGTTTTTAATGTTAATGTTGTTATAATTTGACCCCATATCATAATACTAATACCGAATGCTAAACACCATAACCATTGTGATAAATCTAATGGACTAGTATTGAACCATATGCTACCAAATTGTACAATGCATACCTTGTTTTCATTTTTGATGTAATAATTGATGGATGAATGATTATTGATGATGAGAAAGAAAATGTGATGAGATAAAATATTTTTTTACCTGAATAAAAAATGTACCAGAAAATATCGAACAAAACATCCAATTTGATGCTAAACCTTCAAATACATTACGATCACCATTAATTTTACGTGAATTAATTTCATTAAATAATGTCATCATTACAAATATATTGAATAACATTGTAAAATGAACTGTTGGTGTATTACGACTAAATTGTAAACCTGAATCAAAATCTAACCATTGTGGACCTGGTTGAAAACAAAAAAAAAATTATAAGATTCTAGAAACGTGTGAATAATTCATTTTACCATAGAATAAAAATACTATTAAGATGATTAGCTGATATAAAGCATTACCGACAATAATTTTTAACATATTTATTGAAATCAATGGTTTATTACGTCCATATGGTTTACGAAGTAAAACACTTTTATCCGGTTCTTCAGTTGAAAGTGCTAATGAACCTAATGTATCCATAATTAAATTAACCCATAACATTTGTACTGGACGCAATGGACTTTCCTAAATATTATTATTTTTTTTTCGGTAATAACCGAAATGATAAAAAAAAGTGATAAAAAACGATAAATGTCGTTAAAAATAAAGTAATGTTTTTTTTTGAAATAATATTTTTTACCTGTATAATACATGCACTAACAAAACATATCAACACAGCAACAATATTAACAGTCAATTGAAATTGTATAAATTTTGCAATACTATCATAAACATTTCTACCCCAAATAACTGATTTTATAATGCTTGAAAAATTATCATCAGTTAATATAATATCGGATGCTTCTTTAGCTACTTCGGTACCGGCAATGCCCATAGCAAAACCAACATCAGCCATTTTTAATGCTGGTGCATCATTAGTTCCATCACCGGTAACAGCTACTACTTCTCTTGCTGATGTTATTTTACTTGCTATAATATGTTTAACAAGTATATATTTATCCATAGGCGATGAACGTGCTAATACTCTTAAATTTGGCCAAATTTGATCAAATAAATCTTGATCAATTTCACCCGTATCATTTCTTATCATTTGATTAAATTGTTTACCATCAAGTATCATAAATTGATTTTGTTTATTTCTTGAATTATTACAATTATCCGAATGATTGATTATACCGCATTTAATTGCAATCGATCTAGCCGTATCAATATTATCACCGGTTACCATTCTTACGGTTATACCGGATTTTTGAAATTTTTTTATTGCCTGTGCTACCTGTGTGTGTGTGTGTGAAAAAAACCAGAAAAAATGACAATCGTAAAATGACAATAGTTAAATTCAAAGTCATTTTCTAAACATTATTTTTTTTTCTTACATCAATACGAATAGGATCTTCAATACCGACAACAGCTAAAAATGTCATATTCGAATATGATTCTTCATCATCCCAATCCGGTTCAGTATTTCGTTTAATCATCTTACAGTTAGATTTGTTGGTGGTGGTTTTTTTCCTTCAAATAATAATAATAATGATATATTCGATTAGTAATCATCAAACAAAACTTATTAATATGATTATCATACTCATCATTAGTAGTGTTGGTAGTAGTTGTATCATCATCATCATCATTTTGAAAAATATAATCCACATAAGCCAAACAAATAGTACGAAGACCATTCAATGCCATTACTTTTAATACTTTTTGTGTAATCTTATTTTTTTCAATCATATTTAATCGTAATAATTTTCCATTCACACCAATAATAAACGAACATTTTCGTAGAATAATTTCTGATGCACCCTGGAATAATAATAACGAGACAAACATAAATTAGTTATTTACAACCCAAACATCAATGCTATATGAAATTAATATGAGAAAAAAACAATGGATAAAAGCGTAACAGAAACTAAGAAATAAGAAGAGTGTGTGTGAAGTGTTAAGAGCAGTAATGAAAATAATTATAATGGAATCTTTTTTTCTCATTTTTTTCCCAAAAAATAAAAAAAAACAAACCTTGGCTAATAAACGAAATCCTTGATCATCTGGTAGTTTGATTATTGTACGCATTAATTTTCTCATTGAATTGAATGCAAAAACACGATGAATTTGATTTACAGGAAATTCTTGTCGTAATTTAGCATAATCATATTGAAGTTTATAAAGAAAACCTAATAATGCACATTCAGTTTTGTTACCATATTGTCGGATCAAATTATTTTCATCTCGCTTATATAAACCAAAGAGAATTAATGGATAATGATAAAAGAAAAAAAAGATGAAGAATGAATTATGAGAGGAAGAGAAGAGAAAAAAACAAGTTAAGCCACCAAAATTTTTTCCATTATTTTTTTTTTCAGTTAGAAATGTCAACTAAAAAATAGTAATGGATATGTGGTGGGGGTTATTTAAAGGGGGATAGGTTGGTGGTGTGCAAGTTGTTTCTATAAGTCAAACGGGATCCATCAATATATGATACTTACAGCAATACGACTTGTATATGCAGAATTTAATGCAATATTCTGTGCCAGAATATGTACGGCAATATGTTTATCCTTATTACTTTTATTTGTATTTGTATTTTTATCAATTTTACTAACATTTTTATCATTATAATCATTATCATTATCAATTTTAAAATTAAAATCCAGTTGTCGTTTAGATAATTTTGTATAATAAATACCAAATGCATAACATTGTACAGCAGTCATTTTGTTTGCTGTTAATGTACCAGTTTTATCTGAACAAACTGTTGTTGCATTACCCATCGTTTCACATGCATCAATATGACGAACAAGATTATTATCTCTCATCATTTGCTAGATTGAAAAAATAAAAGAAAAGAAATAAACATTTTGTGTTAAAAGATGGATCGGAATATTCTTTTCCATCATCACAACACATTCATGATAATCAAGAATTGATCAGTCAGTCAGTAAATGTTGTGATAATGGAAGTGATTAAGATTGATGATTATCATTATGAGATTTGGAATTCTAGAAACAAGAATCTGTTGTTGTCTATGGGATGTTTATAACCGAATGTAAAATGATGAAAAAATCGTAATCATCATCATCCGAGAATTGAATTTCAAAGAATTCATTTTTTTAAAAAAATAATAATACCTTAACCGAATATGCTAATGATAATGATACGGCCAATGGTAAACCTTCTGGTACGGCAACAACCAGAATCGTAATACCAGTAATAACATGATCAAAAAATTCTTTAATATGTTTATATGCAAGTTTTTCTTTTTTAATAGCAAATTCAACAATACATGATCGTACGATAAGCATTACAATGGTTATTATTGCAATCGATATTCCTTTTTTTATGAAATAAATAAATAAAAAAACAAATAAAAATAAAAATAAAATGAAATTTTGAATTCAAAAAATAAAAAATAAACAAGGAATTTAAATGGAACAAAACATATATAAAAAATGAGAATTGATTGATTGATAGATTGATTTTGGTGTTTTTTCTTCAAAATATGGGTATATTGATGGGTAAAATACATGTCAGAAGCAACGGGAAAAAAATAACAGAAAAGGAAAATAACAGACTGTGTGATTGGTTGTGTTTGATGTGTTTTGTTGTTGTTGTTGTTGTTGAAAATATATTCAAATTTTTTTTTCCATATTTTTATCATATCAATTTCTATTTATCTTTAGATTTTATCTATGTTTGCGTCTGGTGTATGTTTGTATAAAAATGATCTTAGACGGAACGGAAAATATGAGGGCAGAAAATGAAAATGAAAATGAAAATTTCAAAACCATACACACACAAAACATACCAAAATATCCAATTTTGATAGCCAAATCGGCAAGTTTACATTGTAATATTGATTTTCCTTTTTTTCCACTTTTCATAAGTGTATGAATAACGCCTGTTTGTGAATTTGCACCAACAGCTATAACAATCATACGTCCACTTCCTTCCATCACATGAGTTCCTTTTTTTTAAAAAAAGTGTGAAATGAAAAGGAAAGGAAAAAATGAAAATATGAAAAATATAAAATGAAAATAAACATCAATAAGCGGGTGGTGGTGGTGGATTTTTTGAAATGAAAATCATAATAATAATAATGAAATATTTGATGGAAACACACACACATATGACAAACATAAGGCCGAATCTTTGAAAACAAATTGTGATTACAATGAAAAAGAAGAATTTTTCGGCTTGAAAAAATTTCATAAATGAAATTTTTTTTTTAAACATACCAGCAAACATTGTGATATCTTTATCCGTACTTTTAGCAACTAGATCTGATTCACCAGTCATTGAGCTTTCATCAATTCTAAGTTCATTATATTCGAATAAAATTCCATCGGCTGGAATAACATCACCTATAGTAGAAAACAAAACATGATGAAAAAAAACAACATTCAATTTCATTAACAAGTTTTTTTGTAAAGTTAATTGGTGGTGGTGTGTGTGTAGGTGTTAATAAAAAATTAATTAAATTTAGAGGAGAGAAAGAAAAAAAAATAGTGTTACATTTATGCAAATGAGAATTTTTTCATCTGACTTTCTAAACTACACTAAACACTAAGCTAACCTGAATAAAAAACTTCTTCTTTGCTCACTTCATGAAAATGATTAATATCATTCATCATTCATTCTATCAATGATCAAAGGTTAGGTGAGAGTATGGGGGGTGTAGATGATGATGATGATGATGATAGATTGGAACACACTACTACTGTTGTTATAAACAAGAAAACAAGAAAATTTACCATATTTAATTATGCAAATATCACCAACAACTAAATCCGATGTTGAAATTTCATATATATTACCATTACGTAATATATTGATTTTATGTTCTTTTTCCAAACGATTTTGTAATGCTGTTTTATATTATTATTATTTGGGAGAGGAAGCCAGAGAAAAACAAAGATTTTGATTTCAAACCCCCCCACAACATTATATATTTTGACGAAAAGCCAGTGTTAAAAAGCATTTTTTTTCATTTAACGATGTTTTTGTTTGTTGTTTGATTCCGGATTTTATGTATTTTGTTTGTTTGTTCGTTGTTGTTTTTGGGATTGTTTGGGTTATTTCCTCTCTCCAAACGAGATTTATATCACCACCATTCATATTCATGAATTCGTTTTATTTAATCGGAACAAATATTTTGATGATAAAACACATAAAGAGATTTATACAAGTAAAAAAGAGAGAGAAATAAAGAAAATAAGAAAAACAACATTAAAAGAATTTGATTATATTATTTTCGTCGTATCGGGTTATTGTTTTTTTTGTTTTTGCTCCAAAAAACTATCAAAAGTTATTGGATATATTATTATTGTTGGGGTGTTTATTTTGGTTGTTTTCACCCCATTATCATCAACCATCATTCATCCATTCATCAGATGATTGAATGGAAAACTAAGAGTTATTATTATTATTATTATTTAAGAAGGGAATATTATTAATAATAATAATAATGATAATAAGAAATTGATCAAACCTCTAAATTTAGCCTCCTTTCCATATTCACTGGTTGCCATTACAAATACAGTGATCATAATCGATAACCATATGGCAACTGATTCAATATAACCATATCGATCTTTATTTATTTGTTCAGAATATAAATCTATTTGAAAAACAACCGAAAAACAACAAAAAGCAGAAAAAAAACATAAAAAATGATTATTACTTTTTTTAGGATTCTCATTATCGAATGTAGATAAGAAAGAAAGAAAAAGTTTCTCTCTCTCTCTCATTAATGGATGTTGTTTGTATAATATTACAATGAGAGAAAAAAATCCAAAATCCTGATGACTTACTTTGATCATCAGATGATTCATTGGATGGATGATAAAATGAAAGTGCTAATGAAACAAGTGCACATATTTCTAACATAACCATTGTTTTTTCTTGTAATGCTTCGAATATCAATGAATGAAATGATTTTGATGTAATCTCTGTCAATTTATTTGAACCAAAAACTTGTTTTCGTAGTTTAATGTCATCACCAGTTGTATCCAAACCTAATGAATGAATGAATGAATGAATGGTCAATCTTAATTCAAATGTTTTTTGTGTTTCAACACTAACCTTTATCAAGAGAAATATGTAATTTCATACACAAACCATTGATTGAACCAAATTCTTTTACTTTTTGTATTGATTCTAAACCACGATATTCCATTAATTGTGCTAATTCTTTACTTGTAACATCGAATGTTCTCGTAGATTTTATTGATTTTAATGATTTTAATGAATCACGAACACTTAGACTAGAATGAAAAATTGTTTGAAAACAATTTCGTAACATTTTTGAATATAATTTTTCTTTTGGAAATCAAGTTAAAACAAAAAGCAAAAAAAAAAACAATAATAAACACAAAAAACAAGATTAATCATTATTATCAGGATCAAGATTGATTTTCTTTTATATGTAAGTTCCATGTTCGACAAAAAAAAAGATTATTATTGTTTGTTTTTATTTGAATTTAATTAAAAAAAAAAATTCCGGAAATTAAACTGTTGTTATTTTATTTCCAGACAAAAACAAAAAAACAAAAACCCGAAAACATTGTTTACGAACAGGACATTGTTATTTATTAATCCAAAACATGCAGAGGACACAACATGATCATGTTGAATTGAAGAAAACAACATTCTTTTCTTTTCATTTTCATTTTCAAATTAAAAATAATGATTAATCGAATTTTATTGATGAAAATTATGAATAGAAATCTTCGAAATTTACAACAAACAAAATCAAATATACTTCCTTTATATTATAGTCTGGCTATTAATCCTAACAATCCGGTAAATAAATTATCAACCGAAACAACATGTAGTGTAGAACAACGACAACAACAACAACAACCGCATCAATCATCATCAAAAGAAGCAAAATCTATTGAAGAAAATCCTTATTATTCAAAATATGCGGAAAAAATTAAAAAAGCTCAATTGCAATCATCATCATCATCAGTAAAGAACGAAGCTGATAAAATCAAGCCCGAATTGAAACAATCTACAATTGTTGAAGATGAAAAATTAAAATCCGAAATCAAAACAATTAAAGGTTTGTCAAATTAGCTTCAGTAAAACAAATTTGACTAATTCAAACATTTCTTTTGTAGAATCTGTATCGAAAACTGCCAATCTGAATAAATCAAAAAATAAATTGGATGATATTGTTAAACTTGATCTTTTAATGGACAAAACAAAAGAAGAAATTATTCAAATATGGAATCTATATCATAGTAAACGTGATTGTCTTTTTGCCGTCATTGAATCATCATTATATGAAACATTTCATAAAAATTTAACCGAATATCCTACATTTATATTGCCATTACCAAGAAATTCCGATGATACATCAACATCATCTTATGAATTTTTTTTGATGCAATTTCAAGAACATTGTTGTCATTTTACACCATTAGCTGCTTATCATCTTCACAAAGAGATGGCGCCTATTTGTCTTTCAATTTATTATTATCCTGAATTAAGTGAATCAAAAAGAATTGTATTAATGATGGGTGAATTTGATTCAAATATTTTGAATATTATTGAATGTCAAGGTCTTGCAAATCAATTACAATATTATTATCTAACTGAAGATCCATCAGCAAAACTTTCATTACATTTATTCAATAAAGAACCGAAAAGTTTTGATCATATGCGTCTGATACGACATCTTGAAGATGGATTTATTTCCCGTCAACAACAAATCAATTTAAATCAACCGGATTAAAAAAAAGAAAATTATTTCATTTTATTATTTTATTCATTATTGAAAAGATATTCTACAAATAATCATAGGCACAAATTGTATTTATATTGAACATATATATCGATTATCCAATGATGATGATGATGTTTCAAACAAAATGAATAAATAATCGATTGCACTTTGATTATTGATAAGTTACAAAAAAAAAGAAGAAAGAAAAAACAATAAAGTCTAATATTATTTACAAAAACGAAAAAAAAAAAATTTAAAACAAATCATTTTGATAACGAACTACTAGAATTAGCAAACATATTTGCTAAATTGGCATATGTATTACTACCACCATTATTTAGAAATTGTAAAAATGGATTATTATTCGTATTATTCGTATAAGCTTCCAATAGTTTTGCCGTTGTTATTGAAGAATTAGATGATGATGATCCAATGTCAAGTACAGATGTTGATGGATTTATCATCATCGGTGGTGGTGGTGGTGGTTGTGTTGAAAAATTATTATGTTGAGGTAAAACATTCATCGTTGAGAAATTCTGATGATGGTGATTGTTAATAGCTTGAGGTATTAGCGTAGTTGCTGTAGATGATGATGATGATGATGAAGGAATTGAAACATTTCCATTTGCATAGAATGGAAACATTGATCTTAATGCAAATGGAATATTATTTCCAGTCGTCCAATCTGGCCAATAATGACTATGATGATGAGATCCAATGAAAGATGGTAATTGAGGATTATAATCCGATATAGATGGAATATTATTATTATTTTTTGTACGAACAGTGTTTATCAATTTTGATTGTTGTTGTTGTTGTTGTCGATTTGTCTTTTTTGATTTATTATTATTATGTACAGTACGTTTTGTATTATTTTGTAATAGCTGTTCCTGATTATGATGATTATTAATTGATGGCTGATTATTGATTATAAATGATTGTCGTAAATCGATTGAAGAATTTTTTTTCGAAATTCGTTTATCATTTTTTTGTTGATCACGGAATCGAGAATTTTGTTGAAATTCTGATGAATAATGATTATGATGATTCGGTAAAGATGATGATGGTGGTAAAGGCGATGATGGTATAAGGTGAATCGATGATTTATGATCATTGAAAATATTTGTTTTATTTTTAGCTCTTAAATCTAATAAAATATCATTTGATTCAGTTAAACGATTTGATTTTAATGTTTCATTTATCCTGGCCATTTGATTAGTCTTTTCATTTTTCCGACAACATTTTTTCATTGATAAATCCAATATTTCATCAATCACTATATTATTATTGGTGTTGGTGGCTTTGGTGATCAATTTGGCTGGATTTGGAATATTATTACAATGTGCTGGTAATGGTTCAATCAATGGTTTATTATTCAACAATAAACCATTTTTCTCATTCGGTTTGAATGATATCATTGGATTTTCAATTGGTTTCGGTAGACAAAATAGATTTTTTATCAAATTATTTGTCGATGGTAAATCATCATCATTTTTGTTCGGACAAACATTCAATTCATTTTTATCAATTTTGTCATCCGATACGACCGAAGATGTAATTCGATTCGAAATTGTTGTTGTTGTTGTTGTCTTTTTTTCCATAATTTTTTCAACATTTTCATTCAAATTATCAATATTATTTTTCAGCGTAGATTTAAATGCAATAACATTATTATCATCATCAACAACATTTTCAACAGAATCTTTAAAATCATAAATATCATTATCATTTTTATGGTTATTATTATTTTCTTCACCACCACCACCAACAACAACAACATCAACAACTGAAGTATTATCGTTTGATTTACGTTGTGTTGGATGTACTAATGCAGTCATTTTTGCTTGTGAATTTACATATGATAATAAAACTTTTGATGAATTATTTTTGTTCATAGGTAATGTTGTTGTATTCAATGTGAATGAACGATTATTATTTAAAGAATTATTATTATTATTATTAACATTTTCAACATTATTTTTATCATCAATCATTGATGATATCATTTTTGTAGCTATACATTTATCATCATCATCATTCTCACCATTATCATTAGAAGTGTTGTTCAATTTAATTCTTTTGTTTGATGATGTTGTTTCATAATGATCATTTTTTTTGTCAAGTATCACTCGATCATTGATTCTTTGAATTTGAATTCCGTTATCATCATCATCATCATCATTGTCATTATTATTATTTCGTTTGGATCCAATATCATGATATACTTTTAACATTTCTTTTGATATTTCAATCGAATCATTGGTAATTTGTATAATTTTCATTTGTTCATCTTTCACATTATCACCAACAGTAAATAAATCATTTTTATTTACATTCAATAATGATGAATCGGATCGATTTTTTACATCCAATTCACATTGTTCAGGTTCACTTAATTTAATTCCTTTTTCCTCTTTCAAAATGATCGATGAATGATTAGATTTTTTTACAATAATCATTTCATTTTCTTTACATTGTTGTTCATCATCATCATCATCATTATTCATTTCGGTTACAACCATCAATGGACGTTCATTTTCATCTTCTTCATCTCCATCATCAACATTATCATTATTTGTTGATTCATTTAAATTATTTTTATCATCTTTTTTTGATTGAGAAATTTGAGATTCTAAATTATCATTATTATTGCCATCTTTATTGTTTGAACTTTCATTTGATTCACTAAATTCATCTTCAATTCTATCATCATCCTCATCATCATCACCACCAAAATCATCACCATCATCATCATCTCCTGATTCTTTTGATTCATCATCGTCATCGTTGTCATCATTATCATCATTTTTTTCATTGCACATTTGTTGTTTTCGTTGTTTAGATGAATAATGATAACGTTTATCTGGTAAACCATTCAATTGTCTTTCAAATGGTAATAATAATTTTTCATAATGTCTACGTGTACATGTTGCAGCACTTGTACTACGTTTATTACCACCTAAATCATCATAAAGTTTTTTCCATAAACGTTGTTTAGTTATTTTTTCATATCCACCATATTTTTTTGCTTGTGTAAAGAAAAGATATAGATCGACTGTATTTAAATAATAAAAAAAAAACGAAACAACAAAAAAGAGAGAAATAAAAAAGGATTAAATAAAAAATTCAATTAACCAAATGAATGAATAAATAACATAAAAATCAAACATACTTTTCTTAAAGCCCATATTAGGTACACGTTGTATCGGTGTATTACGTTTGGTCATAAATTTATTCAATTCTCTAAGAAAATTTTCCTTCCTTTCCAAAATATTATTATTATTATTTGACGTATCAATAGCTTTTCTATTATTTATATTCGATCTATTTGCAGCCATTTTATTGTTTTCTTTATCCGTAATATTTCGTCTATTGTCATTGTTGTTATTTGTTTTTTTCAATTCAAACAAATCATCATTCTCTTCGTTACTATTATCACCATTGTTTGTATGAGATTTTTCTTGATTTTTAAATTTTGTTGTTGATTTTGTCGTTTGCTGTTGTTGTTGTTGTTGACACTTTTTTCCTTTTCTTCGATGATGACGATGATGATGATGATGGTGATGATGATTATGATGATGAAGATGATGTGAATGGTTATGATGTTTATCAATTGAAATCGGTTGATCATTGGTCAATGTTGTTGTCGTTGTCGTTGTTGATGATGAAGCAGCTGTTGTACGTCTAGTACGACGTGGTAAAAATAATCGTCCATTCTCTTCCGAACTACTAATCGATTCGGGTGATGATGGCCTCTGTATAATTTTATGTTTACGTTTTTTCGGACGACCTTTGAATTTAGGAGCTACAATTTATCCAATAAAAAACAGAAAAAAATGAAAAAAAATTGATTATTCAAGCAACAAAAAAAAAATCCATAACAAAATGAAAAAAAAAATATATTTACCTAGATGATCACAATTGAGATCATTATTCAATAATCCATCATGATTAAATGTATCACGACAGAATAAAATATGTACAATTTCATTTCGTTGTTGTGGAATACCTAATTCGATTAATAAATTCTGTAATAAATTATTATTATCAAATAATAATTTATTTTCTTCTTGTCCTTCAATACGTTTCAATAGATTACGATAACGACAATAACGATTATATGATAATACTACTATTGTTGAAAGATCATTTTGTTGTTCATTTGCTTCTGTATCGTTTGAAATAGAAAAAAATAAAAATAAAACAATGAATACATTTAATTTGTAAAAACATTATTACAGAATAAATGTGAATAACAGCAATATAACCGAAATATAAATAGAAAAAGGAAAACAAAAAATAATGTTCAGCAACATTCTACACATACAAAACACACAAGCAAATTCAACAAAACACAAATATATAGACTTCCAATGAATATAAAATGATTTTTCTATATTGAAATAATCAATCAATCAATTAACATTTTTCTGTATAAATATATCCATAATATCAATGCTACAAGCAAAGATTTTGATATATACACAGAGAGAAAAAAAAATGGAAATAATGAAGAGAGAAATAGAGAAAGAAAATCTCGATTCCATTTACGTCAATTATCATTATTATTATGATTAACACAACAACAAAATTCAACATTCAACATGATTTTATATAGAAAGTTTCTTTCCAAAAAAAAAAAAAAATCTTTCTGCCATTCTCATCATTAACATTAACATTAACATTATCATTTCTATAGAAACAATCAAATAGTTTATCACAGAGAAGGGAAAAATTACATAATAATTGTCACCTTTTTTTTGATTGTTTCAACAAAAACAAACCTAAAATATTTCAATTCCAAATCAATGTATATATTCAATATAAAACAACAACAACCAGCGCAGAACCTTCATCCCTATCATCATTATAAATCTAATAAAATCGATTGTAATTTCATTTTTTCATTTTTTTTTAATATAAAAAATGTCATTTGTGTATCAAAATTGGAAATAAAACGAAACAATTTAACATGATGAAAATAATTATCTCTCTTTTGTTTTTCCATATTTGCCAAATACACACAAGCAAAACAAAATGATTCGGTTCATTTCTTTTCAACGAAAAAAAATATCATTTTTCTGTTTAACGCAAATAAAAAGTTTATGAACGAAAACAAAACATTATTATTATTCTATTATTATAGGAAGCTTCAATAAAGTTTATTTGAATTTTATATTTTCAAACAAAAAATCCATACAGAACAGAAAATGAAAAGTTTAAATATAATTCATTCATTCATTCATTTCCCTATAAAAATATTAGGCAAACATTCCGAAAAAACAACATTTGTAATGTGAATACAAAAAAAGTTTCAATTGTTTTTTTGTTATTCGCACTTTTTTTCTCTCTTCAATATTCAAAAGATATTATCCGATGGTGAAATCGATAATGATGACAATTTTATAAAGCAAAAAAAAAACGAAATTCAATCATATCATCATCATGATTGAATCAAATCAACAACAACAACAACGGAAAAAATATATTCAAATCTGGCCATGTTTATATTGTAAATATACACATCAATAGTCAAAGAGAAAAAAAAATCAAATCCGAGCAACGGAAATGGCATATTTTCATTTCATCATTCCAATCATCAACATCATCAACAACAATGGCTATATAGCAAACGACATATCCGATTAAATATAGAAACTTTTTATACAAACAAGAATAAATTTACAAAAAGATTATTTTGATTCAGTGGGGAAAAAAAATCATATGCCTTGTTGTTTAATAAAATGTGATATTAAAAAAAATAAAAATAACCAGAAACAAAAAACAAAAAACCTAGGATCGAAAATTGATCAATTGGATATCATTAAGTAATAAACAAAACAAATTTTTGATCAGGTAAATTTATCATCACTGACATTATCATCATATTACCCAACCAGAACCAAAAACAAACAAAAACATTTTATTATTATTGTAAAAAAAACACAAAAAAAATTGATTATTACAATTTTCTACATGAAAATTATCAATTTTTTTGTAATAAAAAAATTGTAATTATAAAAAAAAAATCTGCTGTACCGTACCATACCATCATCATCATCATCATCTTATTCTAGGATCTTTGTCTATCTGAATGATTTTATTTTTCCTTCCAAAATTTCTTGCTGATCATCATCATCATCATACACTCTTTAATGCAGTGTATTCTCTCTCTCTCTCTCTCTCTCTCTCTATCTATCTATCAGTGTGTGTGTATATTATATGTTCACACATCTTGAAATCTTTATTTCAACTCACTTATGTCTCTCTCTCTCTCTCTCATCTATTTCGTTCAACTTTTTTATATTTTTCATTGAAAAATATATTCAACTTATATATTCCTGCTCTCGCTTTCTCTCTCTCTCTCTCTCTCTCTCTCTCTCTCTCTCTCTCTCTCNTATCATTTTTACATGTGGCGTTTGTAGCTAGTTCTTTTAGGCATTCACATTCGGAGATGCAGAAACTTTGATGGTATTTTTTCCAGTCTGCTGCTTTTTCGTTGAACTTCCATGTGGAATTTGATATTTTATGGCAGAAGGCGTTGGACGAGATATCGAAACAGACGGTAAAGTGGTCGGAGAAACTGGTGAGATTCATTGTTTTCCAGTTGCGTACAATATGATATGCTTGGTTGTTGGAAAAGGTGAGATCAATAATACTGCTGCCGTTGGCTGTTTGACAAGTTTGCTGTTTGTTGTTGTGTGCAATGAGATTGAATTTTTCAATAATATCAATTAGTTTGGTTCCGTTCCTGTTTATGATTCTGTCATGCCACAGCAAGTGTCTAGCGTTTAGGTCACCCGATATGATAACTGGAAGATTTATGTATTTATTAAGAAGACTGTCCAGGAAGTCGATATGTACCGTATTCATTTCGTTCGGTCGAATATACATATTCGAGATTATGATGAAGTGATCTGTGCATTGAACGGAGATAGTCGTTGCAAATGAACATGAAAATTCTTGAATCATATTGATATTGAGAGATTTGTTGGTGATGATGATAGCGGTGTCCGGTGATGTGTTTTGTGTTGGTTTATACAGAATGTCGTTTGAGGATGCAAAGACAGGTTTATTCTCAGGACGGTAAATGTTCGGTTCTTGTATTAAGATGATGTCGTTGTTTGGAAGTTGGGAAACAGCTTCTTTGAATTCGTTTGTAGCGAAAATGCTTTTTCGTAGATTTTGTTGGATGATACTAATCTTATTGGTCATGAATGTCGTTTAATACAGCGTTATTTTGTTGTGTTGTCGTTGTCGTTTCAGTTTCCACAGGGTTGTAGCAGGTTTTTTCTACGATTCGGTTGATTTGATCTTGGTAGATAGGACACTGTTTGTTGTTAGGTTGGTGTTGGATGTTCTTTGATTTGTACATTGGGTGCTTAATGCAGTTATGACAACGTTGGATAAGGTCGCATTGGTGAGGTCCGGTGACCCCGCATGTTTTACATGCTTTTAGATTTGGACATTCCTTCTGTTTGTGTTGCGGATGGAAAATAAAACAGTTTTGGCATTGGCGGACCATTACTCGGTCTCTAATTTGAACTACTTCCAGGTCGGTATGAACGTGATGGAGCTTTTTGATGATACAGTAAACCTTTGGCGATACTCTGAGAACTAAGTCTTGATGAGGTGCCGAAGTTTTGATCGGGAAAAGCAATTTTATTTCATCTTCGAGGCCTTCAAGTTCAGGATTCATATTGCATAGGATGATATTGATGTTGTCGCTGTCCGTGATCTTGTCGACTTTTTTGAGCACAATAGTTGGATCAAGAGCTTTAGCTTGGTAGATATTTGCGTTGTTTTTGATCTCGTCTTGTTTTTTGAATTCTTCGATGAGTGAATCAATGTCGTTAGATGTAGGCGTTTTTATGATGATTCCAGTTCGTGATTTGATAATTTTGTTGATTTTTGTCTTGTTGTTGTTTGAACGCATATTGCGAATGTGGTTGTGGACTTTTTGTTGGAGATCGGTGATGGAAGAATCTTTGTTGGCCGAGATGATCATAGTTTTCTCTTCAGGTTTTCGAGATTTGTTTGTAATGATGTTTTGATCTGATTTTACAATATCAGCGAAACTAATCGGTTTTGAAGGAGGCATATTGATTTCGTCCAGTTTTTTGTTGAGGATTTCTAACGATATGTTGTTGGCATTTTCTTTCAGAATCATAGAGAAAGTTGTGATTTGTTTGAATATCATTTCAATTGTGTTATATTCGTTATTATTTATCGGTCTCTTTTGAGATTTGCCATTTGAAATGATGTTGAGAGCATTTTTAACTTCGTCTTCGATTTTGGTGACCAAGTCAACCGTGGAATCCATGGTGAAAACTGCTCCTATCGCAGGTTGTGGTTTGAATTTTCTGTTGATACGGATATCAAAATGTTCAGGAGAAGAAGGAGAATATTTTAGCTCTGAAAAGAGCTTTTTGAGATCACAAATGATAAAAAGATAAGCAAAAGATTTCAAAAACGAGAAAAACAATAACAGAAAACGTGTTGCTCGCTCGATGGTCACATGCGCAACTTATTGATGATGGAATAATGAAAGAATTTCAAATTGAAATAAAAGCGAGAGAAAAAATGTGGTAAGCGATTGAGCTGAACGAAATTTTTTTTCTGAAAATACAAAAAAAAATTCTGTTTGCTTCAACCAAATACAAACTAATGTCNAAAAAATCAAATCCGAGCAACGGAAATGGCATATTTTCATTTCATCATTCCAATCATCAACATCATCAACAACAATGGCTATATAGCAAACGACATATCCGATTAAATATAGAAACTTTTTATACAAACAAGAATAAATTTACAAAAAAAAAGATTATTTTGATTCAGGGGAAAAACAAAAATCATATGCCTTGTTGTTTAATAAAAATGTGATATTAAAAAATATAACCAGAAACAAAAAACCTAGGAAAATTGATCAATTGGATATCATTAAGTAATAAAAAAAAACAAATTTTTGATCAGGTAAAATTATTATCATCATATTACAACCAGAAACAAAAACAAACAAACATTTTATTACTGTAAAAAACACAAAAAAATTGATTATTCCAAATTTTCTACTCGAAAATTATTAATTTTTTGTAATAAAAAATTGTAATAAAAAATCTGCAGTACCGTAATATACCATCATCATCTTATTATTCTAGGATCTTTGTCTATCAGATATCTATCTGGATGATATTTTTTCCTTCAAATTTCTTCTTGCTGATCATCATCATCATCATCATACACTCTTTAATGCAGTGTATTCTCTCTCTATCTATCTCAGTGTGTGTATATTATATGTTCACACATCTTGAAATCTTTATTTCAAATTCACTTATGTCTCTCTCTCTCTTTTCATCTATTTCGTTCAACTTTTTTTATATTTTTCATTGAAAAATATATTCAACTTATATATTCCTACTCCCGCTTTCTCTCTCTATCTTTCAATTTTTCTCGCGCGCGTTCATCTCCGAAACATTTTCGTTATTTTCACTAATAATAAAATGAAAACGAGAAATAAAATGAAAAAATCGTCAGATGAGATCGTCAATTTATATACATAGACCATCCATCCATACATACACCATATAAACATAGTAAAAATATTTAAGCTTAGGATAGACATCGAGACACAGCATATACACACTTATAATAAGGGAAAAAAATACAATAAAATAAAATATACTGAACGAACGAAAAAAAACTATCATCAAACAAGCAAAATAAGTAAGCAAGCAAAGCAGCAGCTAAGTACAACGAACCAAACCCAAAAAAATACGAATGAAAGAACGAACAAAACGAACGAAGAAATAAAAATAAAAATGGTTGAAAAGCATAAAAGACACACACACACACAACAAACATATACACAATTCACAATTCAATATACAAAACACAAACACACATTTGGAAACATAAACGGGCCAAAACAAAAGAAGAATCCAAATAATAACAACAAGAAAAAAATTTGTATGTTTGGATCCAATGTTTCATTTGAAAAAAAAAGAAAGAAAAAGAAAAAAAAAGTATATCGATGATCGATCTTTTCAACAAAAAAAAGTAAAGATTATTATTGTTTTTTTCTGCTTAAATCGGCAATTTTTTAATTTTTTTTCTGTTAAAAAAACAAAACAACCAAAAACTTAGCTAACTCTAATCATTATTTTGACTGTTGTTGATGTTTTTTTCTTCTTCTAAATCAATAATTATGTTGTGATTATCATCATCATCATCATCATTTGGTTAATGTTCAATTGATATTTGTAATGAATGAATGAACGAACGAAAGAAAAAATCAGGATTTAAATGGAAAATAATAAATTCCAATAAGGATGATGAGAAAGCAGAAAAATATTATTATATGTCGAAAGACATGCCTGATAATGATGATGATGGCCCACAAAATCAAGATAAAAATGTCAAAAAATCTGTCATAATTTTTTTTGTTTGGAATTCAATTTTTTTTCAAATATATCTATCTATCCTTGATCTATCGATTTAACTATCTTGACTTGAAAAGTAATGGTCGTTTTTTTCATTCTTTGTTTTTTTGTTTCGTAAATAAAATCTATTTACGAAACGAAACGAAACGAAAATTAAAAAAATCAGAAAAGAATTAAGTGAAACAAATAAATAAAACATTCTTATGGTTACTATGACAACCCATTTTTGTTGAAAACATATAGCACTTATTTTTGTCTAACTAAGTATACTTACTTAATTTCAATGGAATAATATCAGAAAAATCTACACGACTTGATTGAAATGAACGGCAATTATTATTATTATTATTATTATCATTATTACTATCACCGTTCAGTTGAATGCAATGATTATTGTTGTTGTTGTTGTTGTTGTTAGATGATAATGATGTTGTTGTTGTTGTTGTTGTTATAATCGGTAATTCATTATTATTTTGTTTATTACAAATAATTTTACATGAACTTGATATAAAACGTTGTAATGTTAATAATGGTGATGAATCTAATGTACGTTGTCGTATCACATTTTGATTATGAATAAATGCTAATGGTGATAATTTTTGTTGTTGTTGTTGTTGTTGTTTGGTATTTATTTCTGATGATTTGGATGAATGTTTATCATCTTGTTTCGATGGTTTCCATTGATATGATGAACCAGCAATCCAATCTACTTTATGTGTTATCCATGTAACAAGATCAGTTAATTTTAAAATAACTTTATCATGTGCAGCCATTACTTCGTGCTGAAAAAAAACCAAAACAAGGAAAATTAATTGATTTAAATGAAATTAATTTCATTTTTAAAAAATGTCATTTTTCAAAATTAAATTTTACCTGTCCATGATGTGATAATCTACCATCCGGTGTTTGTTCAGGTAAAAAATAAAGTCTTGTTGATGATAATTGTTGATCATGTTGATGATCATCCCAAACTAATTGTAATTCACCAATACAAGGATCATCATTTGGTGATATACGAATGAAAAAAAATTCACCCAACATTAGAATACGTTCATATTGTTCAGATTGATAACGATAACTAAATGCTTTATAAAATGTATATGAACCACGATGACCACATGGTTGACCAATTAATTTTACTCGTGGTTTTTCATTATCAATATCGATTGTTAATGGTGATGATGATGATGATGATGATGAAGACGACGAAGATGATGATGATGATGAACAAGATGAAAGAGAAGCAGCAGAAGTAGCAGTAGTTGCAGCTGCAGCTGAAGAACAAGTTTTACCCATTATCGTTGTTGCAGTTGTCGTTGTCGATGTTGTCGCCGTCGTAGTCGTCGAAGACGTTGAAGAAGTTGACAATTCATTATTAAATCGGGTCATTTTTCTTTTCTTTTTTTTCAAAATATTGCAGCCGCTATATTCGAGAAAAAAAATATCAACAACAAAAAAACTATTTAAATATAGAGCAAAAAAAATGTAACACTTCGTTTCCTTCGAGAGAGAAAAAAAAATAGATAAAATGATTGTATCGATGAATATTGTCAAACAACAACATTCAAGGATTTATTTTCTTTTCTTTTCTATTTTGTATTTTATTTTGGCAAATTTCAAATTTCAAAAAATTCAAATTTCAAAATTCAAAAATCAAAAACCACAACAACAAAATAACGAAAAAAACATATCAATATTCGATAATTTAAAAAAAAATTCAAGACAAATAATTTAATTTCAAAATTGAAATTGAAAAATTGAAATTTGGAAAAATTGAAAATCAATCAAAATTGAAATTTTTTTATTCTCCAACCTCACCACCACCACCACCGGCTCAACAACAAACAGCAAAAAGCAACAACCCAAAATTGATGATGATTGTCATTGTTTTCATCATATACTTCTTCTTCTTCTTCTTTCGAATAAAAATAAAGCTAACTAAATTTTGATATTTCCTTTTCACCCCCCTTCAAAAAAAAAAAAAAAATTATAATAACCGTTTAAAATATGGTTCGATGCACTCTCTCTCTCTCTCTCTTGGGTTATTTATTTATTTATTCATTCATTCTCTATCGGTTCATTCATTCAAACATAAAATAAAATGAAAAAAAAAGATCAAGCTGTTTTGTGGCAGTACCACCACCATAAATTTAAAGCATTTGATCATAATCATCATTATTTATTTCGATTTTTTTTCTCATTTCAATATGGCTATAATAATGATAAAAATAATAAGGTAAAACAAAGGTAAATTTCATATCACATTTTTGTCTATATGTGTCTGTTTGTCATTGTCAAATTAGATATTCACAAAAAAAACAAACAAGAATCCGAATCAAGAACAAATATCAATCAAGAATCAAGAGAAATTACGGAAATTACTCAAACAAAAAAGGAATTCAATTTACAAAATTTTCATTTTAAAATTTCAAAATTTTCCATTGTATATTTTTCAACTGAAATAATAAAAATAAAATTTTTAAAAAACAAAAATTTATAGATTTTTTTCAGCTATCAAATGTATGTATCCCTCTCTCCAAATGATTTAACTCTGTTGATATATATTTTTTTTTTTGCTGACGACATTTATGATGAATGTCAGCGTAAAAAAAATGAAGAAAGAAAAAGGAAAGAAAGGCAAAAAAAAAAGACACAAACATGATGTTTGATTATTATTATTATTACCACATTAAATAAAGTAAAATAATAATAATAATAATAATAAAGAGAATAAAGATAAATGACATTTTCTCTCTCTCTCTCTGCCTATATATTATTATTATTGTTGTTGTTTCTTCCATTATAAATTGCTTATTATTATTATCATCAACAACATCATTGAATTGTTGTTATTATTATCATCATCATCATTATACAATTGAATACACACAGACAGTGAGATAGACAATATACATTCGAATTATAAAAAAAAAGAAAAGAAAGAAGGTTTATATAACATTAAAAAACAACAACAATCATCAACTATATAACGATTATATATCGATAGATATAACAAACACACACACACAGAAAAATGCGTGGGAGAAAGAAATATTCCAGAAAGAAAAATAAACCGATGCATCTTTTTTCCAACATCTAATAATGATGTTGATAATGATAATCAGTAACAAATATTTCAATTAGTAAAACTATCATCATTATAAAATTTGACTATAACAACAAACCACAGCAAACAACAAGAATGAATGAATCAAATAAGAAAATCAATTCTGATCAGATTGATCTGATAAACATTCAATTCCAGCAACGAGAAAAATAAAAAAAAATGAAAAATATTTATGTTCGTTAAAACATTACGGTTACAAATTTACAAAAAAACAAATTAATTAAATCTAATCAAATCAATCCATAAAACAACAATAACTAGAAAAAAAAATCACAGGTATCAAATGACTGTATAATATATATATTTGTAGCGAAAACAACAACAACAAAAAATCATTTTTTTTAATCATCATCATCATCATTATAATAGTCATATTACACACACATAGAAAGAAAGATAGAAGATACACAGAGAAACAACAATAATAATAATAATAAATATGACAATCACAAAATGAAATGAAATAAACCGATCCACTACAGACAGACACAATAAAAAAAAACATTCAATGTAATTGTGTGTATATCATATGGGGGGAATATAGAGGAACAAAACAAAAAAAAAATGACAACCATATCCACACACAAAGTTTTACATTGAACAACATATTATATGAGAAAAAAAAAGAAAGAAGAAACTCTCCATAGCAAATATACACAGATATCAACACACACACACCATAATCATCATATATTTTTTGAAATAAAAAAAAATACATAGTGAAAGAGAGAGAAAGAAAGACTTTTTCATTTTACCATTCTATAGTCGAATCAAATCAAAATCAAATAATAATAATAATAATAATAATAATAATAATAATAATAATGGGGCAGGAATGAAACCGTCGAAATGATGAAAAACAACAACAACAACAACAACAACTTGAACAACTTAAATATCCAGAAAAAAGCAAAGAAATAAACGCAAATTGCGAATATATTAAATGAAAAAAAATTGAAATGGAATGTTGTTGTTTTTTATAATGTGTGAAACAAAACAAGTGAAAAAGGAAAAAGAAAATGTCAAATAACATTGGAAAATATCATGTGAAGAAAAAATAAATTCCGATCATCCCAAAACTCAAAAATTATTTCTATTTGGAGTTTTTGACAAACAGAAAACTGATAAAAATCTCTCAACAACAATAATAAATCGATATTTGTAATTTGATCAACAACAACAAAAAAAAAATTATCAATTTCTATTAATTAATTAATTAATTGTAATTAACAAAGTTACAAAAAAACAAAGCAAAAACTAGAGATTAAAAAAAATCAAATTAAACAATAATTATTACATGGAATTGCAAGCAAAACAAAGTTACAAAAAACAACAAAAATTCCTTGATTGAGAAAGCACATATATCTCTCGCACATAATGAGAATGAATGAATGATCAACATTTCGCCTTTCTAAAACATACATACAGATAGAAAAAAAAATAGGATTTAAACATTCGCTTATTACACACACACACACACTATTATCATATCAAAATGATATCATCCATTCATTCATTCATTCATTGAAAAAATTGATTCACAGCGAAATACGCGCGCGTCCATGAACCAATGATGATCATCATGCCAACAACAACGAAGAAAAGAAGAACAGAAAAAATGTATATTTTTTTCATATAAAAATCATTATTATTACACTCGTGATCATTGCAAACGATGATAATAATGATTTTTTTTTTGTTACAGGAAAAAAAATAACGTATTTTCAGATTTTCTTTTCATCGTTTTACATACGCGATCATCATTATCAATAGAAGATTTTTTAAAGTTTATTTTCATCATCATCATCATCGGAACAAAAGAAGGAAAAAAAAAGTTTTTTGATATTAAAGTAGAAAAAAAAGGTAAAATGTATGTGGCCAATGGCCATATACAGAATGAATAAAAAAAAAAGAGAGACTAGCCAATGTGAATGAGAAAGAGACTGAATGGTTGTTGAGGCCGAATATTTTCTTCAACAAAAAAAAAGTCGAAGAAAAAAAAACATTACCATTTTTGAATTACTTATTTTGTCAAGAAAGAAAGAAAAGAAACCCAGAATCATTTAAATATTTGTAAAATGATATTTCTTTCTTCAAAAAGAAACGAATCAATCAGTGAAATTCAGCCGAAAAACACACACACAGTCAATTTGATAATCATTTTTCACAGAAGAAAATTTCTAGTTTTTATTTGATTTCTACCATCACTATTCTCAAAAAAGAATTTCATCATTTTGCCACAAACAAACAAACAACAACAAAATTAAGAAATTTAATATTATGGATGGGAAACATTTCAAAAACATTCAAAAAACAAAGTTGACTTTTAAAAATTCAAAATTTGATGTTACTCAGATAAACACAGAATATAAAAATTCAAATTCAAATTCAAATTACCTTTGTTTTGGTGGGATTTTTTTGTTTCAAATTCGATAAAATCTTGTCAACACACACCATACACAGAAGATTCGAATGTTTCATTCGAATGTTGTTGTTGTTTATTCACAGCAACAAACAAACAAAAAAAAATCACTTTTTTAAATTTTTTTTAAAAAAAACAAACAAAATATGTTCACATCATCGTAATCATGATGAAATTATTAAAATGATGTTCATATTGATGATGAGTTTGCGCGTTTTATTTGATTTAATAATAAAAAAAAATCCAAATTCTTTAAAACATATTACCAACTCTGGTGATATTTTTTTTTTTTTTTGGAAAAAAAAAAATTGTCGTTCGATTGATGATTTATCAAATCAAATGAAAAAAAATTCGAATTTCTTTTACATTTGAATC